AGAGAGAGTCTTATGAATGTGCTTAACTCTATCGACCCTTATAAGGTGTCTTGTGGACCCAATAGACTCGTTTGGTCCCCAACCCCTGAAAGTTCTTTCTCAGGTCTTTAATGTACATGTACCATTCAAGCAATATGTTTCCGGGGCTGCTGGAGTTCCCTGCTGTTTCTGTCTGGAGGAAATGTGTCCCATGAAAGATCAATGCGTTTATGGACTGTTGCTCAAAGGAGAATCCTTACCCTTGATAACTTGCAGAAGAGAGGGTGAGTCCCTTGCTAATAGATGTGTGTTGTGCTGCAAAGATTCTGAATCCATTGATCATTTGCTGGTCGAATGCGGTTTTACAAAAGGAGTCTGGAACGAGTTGAAGAAAAAATGAAATATCGAGTTGGCCCCTTGCAGAGACATCAACACCACTATCCGCAGATGGAAGGCTGATTGCCCTTCTGATCTGCATGGATGGATTGTATATTGTGTTCTCCATTCGATCTGCTGGTAGGTGTGGCTCGAAATGAATCATCGTATGTTCAACAAGGGTGCTCTCCCAATATCCTTGGTCTATCAGAGGCGGTTTGCTCGATTGTCGAATGGCTTGTGGCGCACGGAATGATCAACAGAGTTCAATGGCTGAGACCTAGCTTGAGTCGTAGACAGTTGTCGTAAAACGTTTCTTTTTTGGGCAAATTGGTTTCAGGGATGTTGTAGGCTGGTTCCTTGTTGTCTGTTCTGGTTGTTTTGGTTGTCTGGTTTTCCTCCTTTCGTTCCTTTTTTTTTGGGTTCTGTTTTTTGTGCTTTGGGGCAGGGGCTTCTCGGTTCGCCCAGCTCCTCTCGGCGCTCGCACCTCTTGTGCTGGCTGTTTTGTTTCCTTTGTGTTTGTGTTTGTTCATTTGTTTGGACCTTTTCGTTTGGTTTCTTAATGCAGTGATCACCATTATAAAAAAAACAAAGGTTCTAGGGTTTCATTTAACTTAGAGGGTTTTTTGACATTCATGGTTGTCGGTAATTGTGGAGAAATGATCTTTTAGGAGAGCAATCCATGTATAGTTACGAATATTGAGAACTCACTCCCATCCACCCCCGGAAATTATGGAGAAAGGATCTTTTAGGAGAGCAATCCATGTATAGTTACAACAATTAATTTGTATAATTTCTTATTCATATTCATTTAGTTTCTTTGGTTAGTCTTCATTATTTTAGAAATAAAAATATATTAAATGAGAAGCAATGTATGTGAGTTAAAGCGTTATCAATTCTAATAATAAATTATGACCATGAACTTAGAAAAATGAATAAATGAATAAAAGACACGGCTAGAAATGAGAGAGTCTTCAAAGGTGTTATCCCCAGGACAACAGTGACTTCAACAAATGCGATTAGGGACTTCACTTTTTGGACTACTCCTCCCCGCCTTGTCCAATCGGTCCTCGGATCCCATTCCCAGCACATCTCTGACCATTCTACGCTTAGTCTACCGCCTAGTTCTTCCCAATGGGTAGTTCACTGTGATAGATCCTTCAGATCGGAATCACATGTGGCCGCATATGGGGTCATCATCAAAAACCCCCATGTGCAAGTTGTGGATGGTAGTGCTGGGACCTTTTTCTGTTCTTCAGTGATAGTTGCGGAAGCTAAAGCCTTGTTGACTGCTGTGAGAATGACAGCCTCCCTTCACGGTCCTGCATCAATCTTCTCGGACTGCAAAGTGCTTGTCGACATTATTCAGGATCCGCAAAAAGTTGGTCCCTGGCAAGTTAGAGCATGGATTCAGAGGATTCTCTTTCTCCTTCAGACGCATATCGGATTGAGTATCTTCTTCACACCAAGATCTACTAACAAAAGTGTAGATTGGGTGGCTAAGGGAGCGGCAAATGGATCTTTCCCTCAAGAATGGATCCAAGTGCTTGATATTTTAAATCCGATCTTGTAACTCGGTTTGGCTTGTACCCCTATCGTTGATTTGAATGGAAATTATCTATTGTAAAAAAAAAACATTATTATCTTAAAATATATTAAAGGGGTTTTAGAAATAGACCCTGTCCACGTCAGCCTTGCAGGCTTTTTCATGAGTTTCGGGGGGGAAAAATTAATATTTTTTCGGATGGTCATTTGTAACTTCCACTTAATTTTGATATTATCTATTTTTCTTTGCTGTTTTTTTTATAGAAAATTTCTTTGCTGTTTTCCGTTTTAAGTGTTTCCATTCTCTTTTTTTTTTTCGTTCATGTATTTATATTAGGAATACATGGAATTTTTAACGTCACTCCCATTTCCATACTTATCTTCACCATATTTGATATCTTTAACGTTTAGAACTATTATTAACTTCTCACAAAAAAAAAAAGTATTATATAATTTCTACCAAATATCCTATATTTTATGTGGATGTACAAATCATTTGAATATCTTGGATAATAATAAACACACATTTATATATCATATAAAATAATCATTTGAATATTTTGGCCAATAAATTACCTTTAGTGGGATTTTTATAAAGATACTAACCCAGCACTAGAAATGTCTAACCCATAAGTGAAGGTCAAATCAAGATTAGAAAAACATGTATCGCTTATATGTAGATGAAGATTGAATATCTTGAGTTAGGAACATGTATCGCTTATATCAATAAATAGAAAATTATTTTTACAGCATCAAGTGGTTAATTATGTAATTAGTCTTTCTATTTTAATTAAGTGAAGTCATCAAAATTTTACATAAGGGTCTCATGTGAAAAATTAAAAACATTTATAAGAACAATATATACGAAAATAATTTAAATATAATAATTAAGTATCTGATTATATATATTGCATGTTGGCGAAAACATGATTATACCGTATGTATGCATAAAATTTTCATCTTAAGAAAACGTAATCACATAATAAAATAAGACTTCCCGGCCAACAGGCCGGGTACCAAGCTAGTTATTATTAAAAGGATTTCATCCTTGGTGTAGAGAAATGGGACAAAAGATATAGTTAAATAAATAATGAAGTCCGTTATCAGCTTGCTTATTGGTGGTGGTTCTTGTTGTGTATCAATGACGGTTGTATTGTTGTTGGGTTTATACATTGTATCACGCACACCCTCGAGCAAACTTCTCCGCTTCCCCCTTTACTCGCACAATCCTTCACACATGCATTGTAACAGTCAGTGAATGTGTCCGCAGCAGCATCCATCATCATTCCAGCGGTCACCATTAAGAACACCAATACCAAACTCATCATTGGCCCTCTCCTCTTGCCCGGCTCCATAATAATATCTCGATTTTTTTCCCCTCTTCAAATTCCCAACTCTTTGGTTCCACTCTTTTTCCGACTCCACCTTCCACTCTTATATATAGTGGGAAGTAGTAACTTAATTACTATTGCAATTTGCTAAAAGATAAGGGAACAAAGTTTCCATGATTATATATTCGTAGAATCAAAGAATTGATTATCATTATTGGTAATATATCACTTTACTTGGTAAGAAATAAAAAACACGAGTTATCTATTTCCAATCTATAAAGAAACTATAAGTCTACAACGAGTGGGGAGAGGATAGGGATTATAAATCCACTAGCGTGTGAAATTTGATAATGTAATGGGGTGTATAGCTTATTGTTTTTTGGGAAACACGTGATAAAAATAGTGAATTTTAGCAGGAAAGAGACATGAACGATGCAACGAAAAATCAAGTACATGTTACCTTGTGAAACAATATTGTTTATGGTAATATGATGAGGTGGAGTAAGTTTTATAGAAACCGAATTCCAGAAAATCGAATAAAAATCGCCTATCTCGTCGGTTTTCGGGAAATGAGCATCTCACAATCGTTGCTACCTTTTACTCGGCCCGTTGACCGATTAATTTGCTTTATAAAACTTTCATCTTGTCATCATTGTGCTTTCTGGTTTTCGTCAGGCCATGATAAAATCAAAGGAAATCAAGAACGAACAACACGATTTGGGATAGGAACTGTCGTTGTCGTATCCCTAGAAAATGGTGGTAAACACGGACTCACCTGCCAAACTGGTTTTGATTGAGATTTTATTGGGTATCAAGGAACCATGTGATTATAAATTAGACTTGATCAAAACGGGCCAAAACTTGAAATTCAGCCGTTTTGACCGACCCATGCCAAATTCTAATTATTCTTTACTTTTTTTTTTTTGACAAAAGGTAATCATATATTGATCGAAACGAATAGGTAATTACATCCTGGAATACAGCCATGCCTGGAAATCAAAAGAACGACAAGTAGACGGAGACAAAGAAAGGGCCTTTCTAGCCACCACATGGGCCTTTCTTACATATAAAATTGATAAAAAAAAAGAGAAGAAAAAAAAAAAAAAACAACTACGGATCATCTACCAACACTCGACAAGTAGTCTCTCTAGCCAATATAAAAGAAACCAAGAAACTAACTACGGTGAGCCCAATAGCTATCAGAAAGCCTAACCAGACTCTATCAAAAATGGAGTACTGTACAAAACCACCGAGAGCCCAGTTAAACAGTAGAGTAGACAAAAACTTGAGCATGAGGCAAAGGCCAACACTGGGCGCTCGCACGGCAAGCGGGAACACTTCTGGACCGTACATCCAGGGTATGGGCCCCACTGCGATCCCAATCGCCGCCTGCAGTGCAAAGATCTCGAAGCTCAACAGCACAAATACCGCTCCGCGACCGATGCGCTCATGCGCATCGGTAAAGCTCGTCCGGGGGAGCAACCCCAAGGAGCATCCGGCTAGCCTCATCCCCGCAAGCAGCAGCCGCCTCCGCCCTACCATCGACCTCCCCACTCCGTGCAACGAGGCCGTCGTTGTGACCAGCTTGCCACAGGCAAGCACCATCAGTACGACCGAGAAGGACGGCAGTGATCCGAACCCGTTCCGTACGAGGACGACGGGTACGAGGTGGAGAGCCATATGCTCGCACTTCGCCTCTTGGGCGACGAGCAAGACAGTGGCGCTGCACAGGTCCCGAGACTGGGAACCGAACCAGTCCTCCACCCGGGCCCAGAACCCGGTGATCCGACCCGGGAACAGATCCACACGACGTGGATCGACTATGGAGCGGTAGGGGAACCCAGCAACGTGCTCCAGCTGCTCCCTCCTATCCCAAGGCTCCGCGCCTGTGGCCCCACACCGCTCCATCAATTCCTCGGCGAGCCTAACCTGACCGATCATCATCAGCTAGCACGGCGTGTCAGAGAACCAACGCGAGAAGACAAAGTCGTGAAGAACCCGGTGGGTAGCATGAGAGCCCCCGCCATCACCCTCCATGCTACGTGTCGTGGAACCCGGACGAGTGTCAATTCCAGATTGTAGGCCGTTATCGTCCCCACTGCCATCAGTATCTTGGAAAAGATTGAAATACAACATTGAACCATGTTACTACGTACTTAGAGGTGGCAATTAGGATCCAAATCCATGAATCCAATCCAATTCAATTAGAGGTGGCAATTAGGATCCAAATCCATGAATCCAATCAAATCCATCCACCAAATTATCCACCTAATCCAATCCATTTTATCCAAATCCAATTGGATTGGTGGATTCATGGATCAATCCATGGATCCAAATGGCAAATTATGATTTGGTACCTATATTTATTATATTTTACATTTTGGTACCTAAAATTTATATTTTTATACGAAAAATATCATTGGAAATTTACATTTTGGTACCTAAAATTTTTCATTATGTCATTTTAGTACCAAAAATTTTCAAATTTTACATTTTGGTCCAAGCCATGGATGTCATTGGGATTCATGGATCAATCCACCAATCCATTTGATCCAATCAATGAATCCACCAATCCATTGGATCCAATCCATTTGATCCATGAATCCACCAATCGAATCCACGAATCTGATCTAATTGCCACCTCTAAATCCAATCCATCCACCAAATTATCCACCTAATCCAATCCATTTGATCCAAATCCAATTGGATTGGTCAGGAAGACTGGGTTGGTAGGCCACCCATGTTTATCCTTGATGATCTGGACTTGGATGCTTTAGCCCACTAATAAAAGGCACAAATATTATTATAAAAGAATATTAAAATGACTTACTATCAATAAAAAATGTAGTTGACTATATACATCCTTTCGAAGCTCCACCTCCAAACATTCTCAATAAATTAAAAGAAAACAATAAATTGTAAACCATACGATTATTAGCTATTTCAATTTTCATATGTTATGGACCTATTGGGCTATGGGTATGGGCTTAGGCCCAAAATGGCTTCTCTTCTTGCGTACGGGGTTGACTTGGCTTATTTATTAGCATTGGAACTTTGAAGTAAGAAAATGAAGCTTATTTAGTTTAATGACTGATCGATCTACCGTCCATGTTAGATATCACTTGGACCTTTGATGTTTAGTTCGACTTGTCTTCTTGTTGGTGATCACTATCAACTACCCTCACTTGTTCAGGTAACAAAGTTCAGATCTTTGTCTGCATTCAGTTTGGTTCACTTTGCTGTTGACATCTTATATCTCATTCAAGTGATTGTTTGATGAATCAATTTGTAGAGTGCAGAGGCTCGAGAGAATGGAATGGGGATAAGTTTGTTCTGCAAGCTTTTGTGAAGCGCATCCTGAAGCAATTTCACCTTTGCAGAGTCAGGTATCCTTTCGTCATTGTAATCAAAACATGTACACATGATTTTTTTTCTTCCTTTTTGCCAAGTATGATTTGAATAATTTGTCTCCATGCAGGCCTTGAATCCAGACAGAGCTGTGGTGTTCATCAACACAGACATGCATGCTGCCTACGCTTGTGGCAAAATGTTCGAAGTCGTTGAAGAACCTAATGGAAGCTTACATGGTCGGTGAGGTAAGTTTACTTCTTTGAGTTCTCATTATCGAAGTACAGAGTTATTTCCCCAGCTTGGTCTTATTCATATCAATGATCTAGATAGTCAATGTACTGACAAACAGTGGGACTGATGGCAAAGATATTGGAATCATCACCCCATACAACTCGCATGCAAACCTTATCAAGGCTGTTATTCTTCCAATTTCTATGGAAATACATACAATCGATAAATATACCAGATTGACATCTGGGACTGCATTTCCATTGCCACTTAGTTACTTAGATGATATAGCTTTCTGGTACTAATAATATACAATTTTTGTTTCTCAAACACAAAAAGCAGGGTAGAGATAAGGACTGCATAATTGTTTCTTTCGTGCGGTCTGGCCATAATATCCCGGCAGTCACAGTTCTTCACTGCTTGGAGACTGGCATCGGATCAATGTGGCAATCACAAGAGCCAAGGTAGCAAATAACAGAAACATATGCCTGTGCATATAGGATTCAGGTCAATTACATAAATGGTTTTTGCATTGTGCAGAAGGAGTTGATGATCATGGTGGGTTCGTGCAGAACACTGTCAAAGGTGCCATTCCTGAAGCTTCTGGTGGAGGTCGAAGAGCAAGCCGGCATTTTGAATCTGAGCAACAATAATATAAAACTGCAAGAACTGGAAAAGCTGGGATAAGGCGCAGTAGCTAAAGGGCTATAGTTTAGATGATTGGATCGATTGTGTAAATAGTAATTTTGGTGCTAAACTTTATGTAATTTTGTTATAGCAAATATGACACGGAAGGTTTTTGTAGTAAGTCATCTAATAAAACTAGCACAGGGCCCGGCCCCTTGGCCGGAAAAGTTTAGAAAAAAATATGCATATGTAAAATGCTTACAATATAATAAGAAGATAAGGCATACGATTGGAGAAAGAAATGCAATTGTTCAAAAAAGAAAAGAAAACATATACATAGTTGATTTTCACTACTTAAGAAGGTCATATAGCAAAGATTAGAGTTGCTTGCGTATCGCCGACGAATCGGCCGTTGATTCCTTGGGGTTATTCAAGCCCTCCTGGAGCCCCTCCATCTCTGGTCTTCTCGCTCCTTTCCCGGAATTCTCCTTTCGTCGAGTTTCCATTTTGTAATTGCCGCTTCGGCTTCGCCTAGATCCATGGCTGCGGGAATGTCCTGCTTTTTGGCGACGACGATGTCGCACTCGGGGCAGCACGGAATGAACTATCGCTGCTGGGCAAATTCGTTGGGCCATCCCCTCCAATTCGCCTTCTGCTTACGACCCTACGGGGCCTTTGGGACTGGGACGGGCCGGTTTCTATTCTCCCTGCGGCCGAAGGATTACTGCAGTTTGTTTTCCCAAATGAGGGGGATTTGAACAGGGTTCTGAGGATGGCACCGTGGATTTTGCCGAAGTTCATAATCAACCTGCCGCCATGGGTGGCGATTTCACCATATGTGGCTGAACAAATGTGGCGAGTTCCTCATTTTCTTCAATTCTGGGAAGTACCAACCACCTGCTGCTCTCAACGAATGGCTACTCTCCTCGGCGGTTACCTGGGGAAAACTGACCCGGATGCGGTGCATCGCGTGCCAGGCACGACAGAGGTTTATCTTCGGGCTCGTGTCTGGCTCGACTCTCGTCTCCCACTGCCAGTCTCTGTTCCGGCGTCCCATGAAAGGCTGGCTAAGGTGAGTTTACTGCCTCAGTTAAATTTGAAAAGCTCTCACAGTTCTGCTTTCTTTGTGGAATCCTTGGCCATATTGGACATCAGTGTCCTCGTCGAGAAGAACTAGCGGGCACAACTACCCCCTACAACCGGCATTTGGTTTCCAAGAAGTCCGGACCCAGGGTGAATGAGAAGAACTTCCTTGGTCGTCGCCATCTGACCTGGGTTCGTAAAGAGAGGGAGTCGGCACCCCAAATAGGACAAGGCGCCTCCAGCCTGGTCCCTGCTTCAAGTCTGGGATCCTCCTCGGCTGTCGCTGCAGCGACCGTCGAAGCAAGTATGAACAGTGGATGGCAAGCTTCGACTGACCCTGTGCTGCACATTCCTGAGGCCAAGAAGCAGAAACTCGAGGACATCCCCCTCGGACAGGATGTCAATATCAATGATGTGGTGGTGGCAACCAGCCGACTGGTCCCAACGTGATAGATGAGCATCCTTGCCTGGAATTGTCGGAGACTTGGCTTTACCCTGACAATTCCCTCGCTCTTTGGATCCATTTGTCGCTTCTCACCTTCGATTATTTGTTTAAGTGAAACGAAGCGGGATGATGACTTTGTACATAAGAAACTTAATCGGTTAGGCTATGTCGTTATTACTTGTGTGTCTCCTGTAGGAAAGGCTGGCGGTCTAGCTTTGGCTAGTGCACCTAGCGTTCAGTGTCGTGTGGTAGGAGAAGCTGCATTCTTTATTCATGTAGAGATTCAGCATTTAGTTTGGGGTAGTATTGCTATTTTCTTTGTCCATCTCAACTACGATGTAAATATTCGCATCTCTCAGTTTAATGAACTTATCTATTTGATCTCGTCGTGTTCGCTGCCCACTCTTGTACTTGGTGATTTTGACTACTCTCTTTGCATCTGAGAAGCAGGGGGGACGCCCACCTCCTTTTACTAGCATGGATCTTTTTCATTCATTCATTGATTCTGCATGCCTTTTTGATCTGGGTTTCCGAGGCCCTCCCTTCACTTGGTCAAATCGGCAGGGCCTCTCTACCCATATTCTTGAACGTCTTGATCGCGGTCTAGGTTCCGAACTAATCTTACATGCTTGGCCAAAAATGCAGGTCTCTCATTTGACTGACCTTGGATCAGATCACAGGATGCTTCTCTTACAGTTAGTCCCTGGCTCGGGAAAGGGTAAGCCCCGGTTCGTGTTTGATGGAAGATGGACTTCCAATGATGAGGCACGGAACATAGTTCTGCAGGCCTGGCACGAAGTTGTTGCGAGTACACCACAATTCCGGCTTTTCTCCCTGTTGAAGTCAACTCGCCATCAGTTTGTTGCTTGGGCGTGCAAGGGTACCACCAACTCAGCAAGGCAGATTAGGGAACTTCGTCAAGCTATCGGGGCTGAAAGGGACCGATCTGCTATTGACTGGACTGTTATAGAAGGTTTAGAAGCTCAACTGGTTGTCGCCTACCGACAAGAAGAAGTTTACTGGAAGCAGAAGTCCGGGAACAATTGGATGCACTTCGGTGATGCCAACACGGGCTACTTTCACGCCACTTTAGCCCAACGGCGGAGACATAATCAGATAGAACTACTCCGGGATGATGCAGGTGGAATCCATGTTGAGGAACCGGCCAAAGCTAATGTCTCTGTTTGTTATTTTA